TTTTCTATTGGGCAACTTCAATTCTAGCTCCATAATGTGCAAGCTAATTTCTGACCTAAAACTAAGAATGTGCCAGATCCACAAACAGTGGGCAGGATGTGACCACCACACATACTCTCACAGTTTAGAAGGGAGTATGAAACTTGCACACATATAGAGAAGCTGTGATATGCTTTGGGAACTTCGGAACGACTGAGCTGACATCTAGCGGCAAGAGAAGGAAGAGTAAAAAAATCAACAGTGGAGAATAGTTTCCCTTAAAAATAGATCATTAATTTTTTTGTAAATAATAGGTGAAAAATTCAAGAAATGCTTTGAACACAGCAACTGGTACAAGTATTCAAAGGTAAATGGGTAAAAACTACGTATTTATTTCTACTATATTACCCTTTCTAAGGATTATCTTCATGTGAATGATTCAGTTTAATTATGTACATTAATCAACCCATTAAGAGATGTTATGAGTTATTCTGATTGTTATGCAATATGGTATGATACAAATTCATCAATAATTGACTTGGTGTAATAAACACCGTGATCTTAATTTAATTAATATACATGCTACTTGACTAGAATTGTTTTCAAGCGACATCAAATAAAGAAACAAAGCTTCAAGTTTCTGTGATAACATAAAGACAGCCACATAAAGTAAACACAATACTCTCATTCACCCTCCCTATCCAGTGATTGTTTTATATCCTCCCAGACTGCTATGTTCGCTGCAACTTCAACTGTCTACAGAATCAGCACCAACCCTTTCAAACTGGTGGCGTGGGTAAAGCTCTGGTTGCACTTTGGGTATTCCATATAAAGTTTATAGGAAATTAACACAGCAATAACAAATCTTAAAGAATAAAAATCCATTAGGAAATTCATTCACATAGTCAAGGAAAAAAATAACTTCCAAAAGAAACAGTACAGAAGTACAGGACACTTTCTATTCCTGAAGAGTAAACAGACCTCACACTTACACGCAGCTATATGCAGGTTTCAAGGGACAGATTCTGGATAACTTTGCTTACTTTCACCTTCAGAGGACAGTTTAATACTTTTTTGAGAACTTTTCCCTAATCCAGGGCTCCTTAAGATTTTTCTAGACGTTTTAGGAATAACAAAGAATAAGGGTCTCACTCCCAGTCTTTCACAGAGAAGGTATGATGATCAACCTTCTTCATAAATACAAGACACAGGATGTGGATCAGTTTGCAAACAACCTGGTTCAGAGAAACTTCTGTCTGTAGGTGCCTCCAGTGCACAGTGCAAAATCATATTTAACCCAAGCATTTTCAATAGTTGGGATATCTACCGTCTTATTTTTCTGTTATACCCTTAAAGAACAAAATGAGACAAGTTTTGCATTAAGTTGTGACACAATTTTACTTCCCTATATGTTCCCATATGAAATGTTATAACATAAAGTTCCATATGTACAGCAGTATGTAGTAATTCGTATTTTTTAATCTTAAAGTAT